AAACCCATGTCCCCTGCAGTTCAGAGTCTTAACCACTTGACAGCCAGGGAAGTCCCTAAAGGATAGCATTTAACATACAGTTTTTCTATAGTTTATATTCTAAACATTTTAACATGCATTCATGATTTTGGGAAATTGAAGTTTTTTTTCAGGTTTTATTCTTTTTTAAAAATTTCTGCTTTATTGAGGTATGATTGGCCAAGAAATTTACAAGATATTTAAAGAGCACCTTGTGGTGATTTGATATGCATATGCATGGTGGAAAGATTCTCCCTCATCTAGTTAAGAACATATCCATCACCTCACATATCTATTTTTATTTTGGTGAGAACATTTAAGTTCTACTCCCTTAGCAAATTTCAGTTGTATAATAGATGCAGTTTTATCAACTATAGTCCCTATGTTTTACATTAGATCCTAAGATCTTATTTATCATCTGGCTGAAAGTTTGTACCCTTTTACCAACCTCTCCCTATTTCTGCCACCCCTTTTCAGATTCTTTCTGTAATTATAATAAATAATACTGTGAAGATCATGTTTGTTCATGCATCTTTGTCCACATTAAGTAAATTATAATTTCCTTTGGCTAGATTCTTAGACATGGAATTACTGAGTCAAAGAGTTGACCATTTTAAGATTTTTAAAGCATACTGGTACATTATTTTCTAGCAATCTACCAATTCTTTCTCCAATAGTAAAAAAGGAAAATGCAATCTTCTACAACTTTGCTGAATCTGAATATTACCATTCAAAACTCTTGGCTGAATTGTTGGATAAAAATTGATTTACAGTTATTTTAATTTGCATTTCTTTGCTTTATAGTCATGGTGAAAATTTTTAAGCCATTTAAATTCCTTTACTTGAACTGTCTGTTTTTATCCTCTATATTTTTGTGTATGTGAAAGTTAGTATCACCTTTGTTGGTTTATAGAAACTCTCTCTGTCCATTATGTTGAACAAACTCTCTCCATTTTGTCCATTATATTGATGACAAATATTTTCCCAATTTGTTATTTGCCTTTAAATTTTGATTTTGTTCTGCACAAATATTTTTACATAATTAAATTTATTGCTATTTTTCTTTGTAATTTCCTGTTGATTTAAAATCTAGAAATTTCACAGAAATCAAATAAACATTTAATTAGTTTCCTGTTTTCATTTGTTTAATAAAATCCTGTTTTTCGGTTCTGAAAATTATTTTTCCTTCTGGTGTGAAGTAAATATCTAAATTGATTCTAAAATAATTTAAATTTTAAACTTTGCTTTAATTTTTATAACCTTATTTTGAATATTTTGGAGCTAATCATAAGTTTTTGAATGCTGACAACATGACAAACACTATATTAATTAAGCACCTGATATATTTTTCTAACTTTGTCTTCACAATAACTTTGTGAAGTAGGTTAGTATAACTATCTTTTTATAGATGAAGAAACTAGGACTGAGTGAGAATAAATCACTTGCCCAAGTTTAGAGACCAAATAAACAGCAGAGCTAGAATTTGAACTCAAGGCACCTGTCTCCCAGGTTCATAGGTGGACATGACCCCCAGTCCCAAACCCACATTGTCCCTTCCCCCTCCCCATCAGTATTTTTTTTTTCAAGAACTTATCAGTCATTTCTAGCCTATTTATTTTTCTTGATAAACTTCAAGATTAATTTTTAAAGACCAATCCAAGAAAAACTTTTTGATGGAAATGATATCAAACCTATGAATTAGTTTAAAATGACTGATAGTCCTATATTCAGTCCTTCCATCTGGAACCCCGATTCATCTCTTCATCTGAGGAGACAGCCAAGAAGCTTTACACAGAGTTGATAGCTTTATTCTTATGGGGTTGCTTCTCAAGGGAAGTTTATTTATAGTGTTTTACTTCCTTGGAGCCCATCTTCCCCTTGCCTGGTGCACATCTGCTCAGAAATCCTGGTTCTACTCTGGGAGATCTTCTTCTGGACTCCCAACATCCCACAATCTGAGCTCTCAGTTCCCTGTCCTCTAACTATTTGTCTCTAAGCTTCGTCCACTAGAGCCAGTTTCCAGAGGCAGCACTGTGTCTGTCATCTCAGCATTCCCCCTGCCTGCTGGAGTCAGGCATCCAGCTGCTGTTTTTTAGTCGCTAAGTTATGTCTAACTCTTTGCCTCCCGTTGGATGCCAGCATGCCAGGCTCCTCAGTCTTTCACCATCTCCCAGAGTTTGCTCAAATTCATGTCCACTGAATCACGGATGCTATCTAACCATCTCAATCCTCTATCGTCCCCTTCTCCTCCTGCCTTCAATCTTTCCCAGCATCAGGGTCTTTTCCAATAGTCAGCTCTTTGTATCAGCTGACCAAAATATTGGAGCATCAGTTCTTCAAATGAATATTCAGGGCTGATCTCCTTTAGGATGGACTGGTTTGATCTCTTTGGAGTCCAAGGGATTCTCAGGAGTCTTCTCCAGCACCACAATTCAAAAGCATCATTTCTTCAGCGTTCAGTCTTCTTTATGGTCCAACTCTCACATCTGTACACAACTATTGGAAAAACCATAACTTTGACTCTACGGACCTTTGTCGGCAAAGTGATGTCTCTGCTTTTTAACCTGCTATCTAGGTTTGCCTTTCCTTCCAAGAAGCAAACGTCTTTCAATTTCATGGCTGCAGTCACCATCTGCAGTGATTTTGGAGCCCATGAAAATAAAATCTGTCACTGCTTCCACTTTTGCCCCTTCTATTTGCCATGAAGTGATGGGACTGGCTGCCTTGATCTTAGTTTTTTTAATGCTGAGTTTCAAGCCAGCTTTTTTACTCTTCTCTTTCACCCTCATCAAGAGCCCATTGTTCCTCTTCACTTTCTGCCAGGAGCGAGATTGTTGAATAAATTATTCCCTACCACTCTGTCCAAACACTTTTGCTGCAGGCCTGCGACAGTGGTTTTCAAACTTTAATGTTTATCAGAATCACCTGGAATGGATACATATTGCTGGACATCACCTCCAGGGTAAATTCTTAAGTCTGGAGGAGGCTTAAGAATTTGCTTTTTTTTTTTTTTTTTTAACAAATTCCCAGGTGCTGCTTGGTGCTGAATATTCATGGAACTATTTTAAGAGCCATTGTTCTAAAAGAACCCTTTTCTATTGTGACTGGGTCAGGCAGCTGTTTTTTTCAAAAATATTGCTTAAAATCATAAAATATGATAGGTACACATTTAAAATGTTTCTTTTTATCTTAAAACATATAAACACACTTTGATTTGCCAATTTGTTGCTACAGACTTCTCAGCAGAGGTCTTCTGAGTTCTGCAGCACCTTTCTTACATAAACTGCTCCCATTTGGCATATCTATAACTTTTAACTTTTAGTCTCTCTAAAGTAGAGTATGAAATGAAAGACCTTTGCAAAGCAACCTCCTAGGTGGCTCAGTGGTAGAGAATCTGCCTGGCAACATAGGAGATGTGAGTTCGATCCCCAGCTCAGGAAGATCCCCTGGAGTAGGAAATGGCAACCCACTCCAGTATTCTTGCCTGGGAAATCCCAGGCACAGGAGCTTGGCGAGGTACAGTCCATGGGGTCGCAAAGGTGCGGGACATGATTGAGTGGCTGAATGAACAAATGAATGAGGGTATAAATTCACTTGCTTTAAATATCTTTCTTTTTTGCTGCCTAACCCACTTGATGTCTTTTTAGCACCTTAATTTTATTTCCAAAGCATTCAGCCTTAATTTTTTGAAAAACATCTTTCTTTTCTTACCCATATTTGATCAATTTACTTAATATTTATTTTAGTGTCAAGTGTCAAGTTGATTTTGATTTATGTCAAAATCTACATAAACAGATTCTGGACTCATATCTGTCATTCACTGATCACACAGCTTGGTTGGAATGCAAGTTGCCAAGTGTACTAGAAATTAGCCCACCAGTGCTAGCGGTTAGTAGGTTTACAGAAACGATGGAGAGCTCAGTGGATCTGGCTCGGGGGTTAGTTACCTAAAGGACAGTGAAGACAGCTGCTTGTCTACTGCTCCTGCTGGGATGCCTTCCATCTAGTGAGTGCTAAGTCGCTTCAGTTATGTCTGGCTGGGATCTCTCGTGGACTGTAGCCCGCCAGGCTCCTCTGCCCATGGGGTTTCCCTGGCAAGAGTACTGGAGAGTAGCCAGATATTGTAAATAAAAATATAATATATCCAGTTAAATTCAAATTTTAGATAAATTTTAAGTATACATATATTCCATGTAATATTTTGAACATATTTACATTAAAGAAGAATTCATTCTTTATCTGAAATTCAAATTTTACTGGGCATCCTGAGTTTTATCTGGCAACTCAACAACTTTCACCTTGTTTTTTCTTGACAAATGTCTATGCCTTCTTCTAAGCCTTGTTGAAAGAGCCTGTCCTCTCTGGATTCCTCCTGCCCTTCTTCCAAGCCCAGGAATTGCTTCTTTTGAGATTTCCATTTCCCCTCCACTGTGTTCCTCATTGGCCAAGTGAAGTATTACTGGTCAGCAAGTCTGGCTGCCAGGGACTTCCCAGGTGACTTGGTGGTAAAGAACCTGCCTACCTATGCAGGAGATGCAGGAGACATGGGTTCAATCCCTGGGTTGGGAAGATCCCCTGGAGGAGGGCATGGCAACCCACTCCAGTATTCTTGTCTGGGAAATCCCATGGACCAAGGAGCCTGGCGGGCTACAGTCCATGGGGTCGCAAAGAATTGGACACAACTGAGCGACTGAGCACGTGGACAAGGTCTGGCTGCCATTGGCCTCTGAGCCCCAGAGGACTACATCTTACCTTCAGTGATGGAGCCCTCCGCTCTTTGCCCCTTGTGTGGTCAGAGACAGGTCCATATTCCCTGAGTGAATCAATGAATTAATGAACGATGGGTCCAACGACCCTCCAAAGCAAAGAGCAATGCAACTCTCTCTGTTGCTCAAATTAGCTGAGGGGAGGGAGGGTGGGTCTGGCTTTAACGCTTGTTTTCAGAAGAGCTCTCATTTGGCTGTTTTTCTTTGTTGTTCCAGCAACATCAACAACGAGACACACCACAGATACTACCTTCTGGGAATTACTCAGCTCTGGTAAGTTTATCTGAACTCCTGGGCTGGGTGACTGTGGTGCCCAAGGCCACACCCAAGGACTCAGGAGGGACTGCCACAGAGAATTCTGCCGGGTTTTAGATGTGGGACAGGAAGGGTTTCCTCTGATGGGGTCCACCTAGACCCTTAGCTCCTTCCTCATGAGGTTCCACACTGACCATGAGATAGGCCCCAGGCTCCACACCAGTGTCTGTCCAGGCGCACTCCTTTCTTAAGGTCCCTGGTCCTCAGGCTGCCCCACGGGGTGGCCAGCAGGGGTTACAGACAGCAGGGCGGCAGGGGCAGTGGGGGGCGGCAGGATCTAGCTGAGCCTCTCTGGTGAGAATCACATTCCTCTTCTTTTCTAGAGCTGCTAACAAGTCTTGGGGAACTAAGGAATCCCCTGGCCTCAGTGCTTCAAATGCTAACTGCTTCTGCTCCCTAAATCCTCTTTTATGGCAGTCCTGTGTGTGCATGAGCATACCTGCTTGTGCAAAAGCACAGACTATGATTTGAGCCAAATAATTCAAATGGTAAATTTATGTGCATTGGGAGGCAGAACTGCGAAATGGTTAAGAGCAATGGTCTGAGTACGGGTCTGGCTGTCACTTACTGGTCAGTTGATCTGGGTCACCTACTCAAGCCAGCTTCCCTATGGGGTTATATGAGGATGAGCTGAGACGACACTTGTAAAATTCTTGAGTATGATGTAAAACTCTGGAGTATGACCCCAGGTCCCCAGGCTAGAGAATGTTCAAATCATCCGCCATGATTAAGCTTTTAAAAATGGGCCTCCCTGGGTGTGTGCAAGGAAGAAGAGATGACACAAATGCAGACTCCCTTTAAAAAAAAAAAACAAGTCTTTGTGGACTTTCACCCTGCAGGCATTTTGGAAGCAAGCCTAGAGCTCTCATTGCACTATAAGAAAGTGAACTCAGAGTCTACTATAAGAAAAGCAATGGCTCAAAGGTGGATTTCTTGCTTAGGGTCCTTGTGCATGAAATGTGCACATGTCTGATTTTTCTTTTATTCTTTTATAGTTTCTGAGTCAGATCCTCCCAGAACACGTGGTAAGTATTTTGAAAACAGTATCTTGTATTTGGTTTAAAGTTTATCATTCTATACAGCTATTTATATCTGAAGAATAAACACTGCCTCCCTGGACCTTAGTGAATGGTATGAGGATTGGGTAATAATATGTTTTGTGTCCTTTATGGAAATACAAAGGCAATAGAAAATTCTTTCAGCTATAGCACAAATGGACTGTGGTTATAGAGTTAGTTTTTTCTTTGATTTTATTTAGCCTTTGCCTCAAACTTCAGTGCATATCAGAATCAACTAAGGTATTTTGTTGAATGCAGGTCCTTAGAATTCACCTCCTTACCCCAGACACTTGGATTTGGATGGTCTGGGGTGGGACTTAGGAATCTGCATTTTTATGTAACCGAAAATAAAGATGGTCTGCAGACCCCATTTTGAGCAAGCATGCTACATGACCCAGGACTGAATTAAGCTTTCATGTTTGCAGTGTATTTATAAGATTTGACTAAGAATTTCCAAGTGACAGAAGATCTATGCATATATTTTAAGTGCTACCTTTTTAAACTTATTTTTTCTTAATGTCTATGTTTTGCTTAATGTCAAGTAAATGCGGCTTTTAAACGTTTTCCCATATGGTTATTGGCTACATCGTAAGTCTGGCTTGTTGATGTAAAGACTTTTCCATAAGAGAGTTGCTAACATTGAACTTTCACACATCTTTCACAATGGGCTCAACATCCGAGCCACCTCATCTGTCAAGAGCTAGTCCTACCAGGATCCTTCTAAACAGGACAGGTCCCTGTAGCGACTTAGGGTTTTATAGAAAGATAGACAGTAATCTCTGAGCACACAGTTATAAGTACAGCTGCGATGGGTGCAGGGGAGAGATGTCCTTGGCAAGGGGCATGTGCTCAAGCTGCCAGAGAGAGCCACCCCGTGGAAGTCACAGGTAAATGGAGGTATAGAGCTGGTATAAGAGTTAGCCAGACAAAGGAGGAAGGAAGAACATTTTTCTGTTATTCCTGGCACTGATGCCAGGAACTTGAGGGAACAGATATAGACTGAGGCTGACTTAGTCACCCTACCCTCACCCCCACACTAATATTTTGTCTAAGCATCATAGTGCCCTGATGGGGGCTTATCTCTAAGTTTCGTTTCCCAAACTATGTGACTTTGGCATATTTTCTGAAGCTCTAGGGGAAAAAAAACAAGGACTTCTGATCGACAGAGTTCAGAAGTGTCACCTGCCATTGGTGGTAGAACACTGTTCGTCTTTGGGGGCAAACGAGTGAGGAGCAGTCAGGAGGGCCGCTGTCACTCAGTTCTTGCTTGCCTTCTAAGTCCTTGTCTAAATCTGCATGGAGATGATGGAGGCGAATCCGGAGAAGGATCCGTGAGCACATTTCGGGGATGCTAATCCTTGGTCACGTCTTGAATTTTTGTTACACCAAGCAACGGGCAATCTGGCACAGCCTTCATTTTGTGCCATCCTGTCCCCCTCTACCATCCCCTCAGGCTGGACATCTTCCGCTCAGTCCATGGAGAGGGCTCAGACAAGGTTCACCATCCACAAAAGCCTCAGACTTGGAGATCAATGCAGTCTGCTCGGCAGAAAAGACAGTACTCAGGAGAATGAAACAAGCTGGGTGATTTCTCAGCATAGATCGCATGGGACTCTTAACTAGTGTTAGGGGGCATGGTAAACAGACACGTACTTTATTACATCTAAAACTACTGAACGCCCCATAGCCGACCCATTTGTTTTGAAGTTCTATTACAAAACCCCAAACGCTTTTAGCAAGAATGCTGCAGGCTCACAAGCCCAAGACTGAATCACAGCGCCCCCTGGCGTGATTGTAAGGTGACCCTCAAGACCTTTGCTGTGCCCGTGTGTCATTTACAAACAGCAGAACAGACTAAGATGAATCTGTATTTCTTTCTAGATCAAGAGAATTTCCAGACTATAAACGATGGTAAGACATTTTTTCTTTACTTGCCTTCCCCGGGGCTTTGCTCGCTGGCTGGGTTGGCCTTCTCCTTGCAGTCCAAGGGACTCTCAAGAGTCTTCTCTAACACCACGGTTCAAAAGCATCAATTCTTTGGCGCTCAGCTTTCTTCTCTCTACCTGTCAGTTATTCATTGCATGATATTAGCTTCAGCTTGGAGTCAGGAGGTGGTGGTGGTAGAGTGGAGAATCAGTGCCCTTTCGTGCCATGAATGTCAGTTTTATCGAACACAGTTAATGTCTCCCAAGGACTTGCTTTGTACCCTGCACAAAATTATTTTCTTACAATGAATGAGTTAATATATATATATATTTTAAAAACATTTGAAAGACTGGCTGGCACAGAATAAGTGCTCAACTAGTGCACATAGTAAGTGCTACTGTCATGAAATCTTCCTAACAGCACTTTGAGGTGAGTAGGACTATTAACTTTGTGCAGATGGGGGAGCCAGGGCATTGTTGGGTAACTTGTCAAGTTCTATGTCTCAGGTCACGTGGTAGGCCAGTGGCTGGGCAAGGATTTGAACCCAGAACAGTTCTCTTTGGCTCTGTCCACGATTCTTTCTAAATGGATCCTCTCTCCTCCTTCTCCACAGAGAGCAAACACACCCTTTGTGCCAACTTTGGTACATTAGCATCTTAACTTTGGTACATTAGCATCTTTCATGTGCTCACTTAGGGCAGCTGACCCTGCTACTGGGTCTTGGCTGTGTTAAGGCCAATCTCTGCCCTTTCAGAGCATGCCCTGAGGGTCCAGGAACGTACTGGGAATGACTTGAGGTATAGGTTTCTGGTAACTGACCTCCAGGAAGGCACAGGTGGAAGCTGGATTTCTGCAGGGACCATTTACAGAAATGACCAGAAGGGGGCAGCAGGTGGAGCAAAGAAAAAACCCAGAATGCACCTTGGGAAAAGCCTACCGGCAATCCAGTTGGCTATTTATTTCTGCTTCCCAGGTGGCACAGTGGTAAAGAATCTGTCTGCTAATGCAGGAGACTCAGGAGACGCAGCTTTGATCCCTAGGTTGGGAAGTTCCCCTGGAGTAGGAAATGGTGACCCACTCCAGCATTCTTGCCTAGAAGATTCCATGGATAGAGGAGCCTGGTGGGCTACAGTCTATGGGGTTGCAAAGAGTCGGATGTGACTGAGTGCACACACTCAGAACAACTTCTGGCATTTACTATGTGGGCTGCTGTGTGTACATACATGTCACTAAGCATGGGATGTGGCCATGGAATCCAGTCATCACCTGAGAATGTGTCCCCCAAGAGAGCATTTCTGCCCAAGCAGTCATGTTGCAGTAGGTATCTTGGCTTTGGAGATGGATCTTTGGGAACATCTTTCCTCCCAGTTGGGGCCACCCTTGGGAATATCTCAGTGACAGTAGATGTCATCTCGGAGAATGTTTGCGCCATAGAAACAGGCACTTGGTATTTGAAGTTTGTGTGCATGTTCGGTTACTTCAGTTGTGTCTAGCTCTTTGAGACCCCAAGGACTATAGCCCGCTAGGCCCGTCTCTCCATGGGATCCTCCAGGCAAGAATACTGGAGTGGGTCGCATGCCCTCCTTCGGGGAATCTTTGCGACCCAGGGATCGAACCCAGGTCTCCTGCGTCTCCTGCATTGCAGGCACACTCTTTACTGCGAGCCACTGGGGAAGCCCATTTCAAGTTTAGTCTTGTGAATAGATTTGGGCCATTCATTGAGAGGGTGATTTTTTTGAATGGAGATTGTGGAAGCTCAGGAGGTGGTAGCAGGAACCAAGAATGTCCCTGGTGGCCTCCAATGAAGGCTGGCAGAGGGACAGATCTGCCTTCCGCTTCAGCAGGAACACAGCCTTGGGGCAGTGGGCAGGGCTTCTGGATCTTTGCCTCCAGCCCCGTTTCTGAGCCGAGTTTGAGGGCCAGTCCTCCCTGGAGGAGAGCCGCAGCCCAGTGACCTTTTCTTCTCTCCACTCTGCAGTTATATTTGCCACAGAGGAACTCTCAACAGTGGGCCCAACAGAAGGTAACGTTTGCTATTTGGGATTCTTGTGGGCTAACCCCCCTGCTGCACCCAGAGGTCTGTATCTGGCCCAGAAGAGGTGCAGAAGGCGTAAGGGATGGGGGTGCTCAGCTCTCAAAGGGGGAGGGCCTCTGAACAAGGCCTCACTGAATGGGTGTCTCTTCCATGGACCTTGACTCTGAGATAGGGGAGGGATCAACCCACAGAGACGTCTCTAAGGAGCTCCAAGATGGAGCTTGGCTCTCTGTCTCTAAGACAGTCCTGCTCTCCGTGCTCCATGCCCACCATGTTATCTTCACCAATGCATGCAGACCTCGTGTCAGGCTAGGATTCAGGGTCACTGGCTACAGGGCCTGGGGAGGCAGTTGAAATCTGTTGAGGGGGACAGCTTCTCTGGGCTCTACCTGAGTCCATATGAGGCCTCACTGATTTTTGTTCCCTCTACAGGAACCATGGTCCTTTAGCCTGGGGTACAGAGGTCCTGTAACCCACTCTGGGGGCCCCTCCAGTAGGGGAGCTGAGAGTTACAGACAGGAGAGCCTGAGGTCTTGGCAGCCTGGGCCGGGGGAAGAAAATCACTGTTTATTCCCGTGTGATGAAGGTTAACTCACAGCCATATTCAAAGGTGACCCCCAGCCCAGGGAACTGAGGCCATTTGTTGTTGTTTCGTCACTTAGTTGTGTCCGGCTCTTTGCAACCCCAAGGGCTGCAGCAAGCAAGCCTTCCCTGTCCTTCACCATCTCCTGGAGCTTGCTCAAACTCATGTTCATTGAGTCGGTGATGCCATCCAACCATCTCATCCTCTGTCATCACCTTCTCCTCCTGCCTTCAATCTTTCCCAGCATCAGGGTCTTTTCCAATGAGGCAGCCCTTCGCATCAGGTGGCCAAAC